AACAACTCAAAAAAAAAACGAAACCTATTACTATTTGGTCAAATAATTGTATTTTGAATTCTGAACCTAAATAACCTATAATTATATTTATAAGTCAGTTCACCCACACATACAACAAACACTACACGACAGTGCACTTGTCCATTTGCTCTACATTCGACAAAAAGTGGGTAAAATACCCTATTCATATGCCTAAAAGTACCGCTTTCTTTCTAATTACCATCAATTTGATATAGACACTCACTTCAAACAAATAAAACATTTTCCACTCGATTACACCCACTGAAGGTCATTCCAATTCGACTGCACTGATTCTGGTCTTCAAAAAGTAAAATAGGTCAGGCATAAAGATAATCTTTGAAAATTGCTTTTTAATTTCGTTGACAATGTTTGAGTGCTCTGACCAAAGTTTTCACAGAGAAATCGGCTGTGTAAAATGGGCGAAAGTTAGTTGAAATTCGGTTTCATTGTGTGTAGCATCGATTCGCAAAGAGCGAAACATGGGAAAACAGTAGCAAAGACAGACAAGTTTTTTTTTTTATTCGAAAATAAACAAAACTTATGTTAATTGAATTAGCACAGACGAAGCACAGAAAGAACAAGAACAACAAAAGTCGATTGTGTTTTATTTTTTGCAAGTCAGGTAATAAATATGAGTTCGCCTATCGCATATCGGGTAGTTCATTGGAACACAAAAACAAAATACCGGGGAACTACCTTGAAAAGAGTGTTAAACTACATTGGTTTCGTCGAAATCATCAATATACGAAATTCTGAATATCAAATTTGAAAGATATATCGTTCATAAAATGCCTGAGGTCTCCTTATACGAATTATTGGCTTAGATGAATGAATTTTCATTTTTGACTGCTTGTGTGTGTGAATATTTTATGAATCAAGCAATTAATTTGAATTCGACAAATCAGAATTTCTAAGCAAAACACTAAAATTTAATTTAAAATCGATCATCATCTGTGTTCGAGAAAAGTTACGAGCTGTCAATGTAGCCAATATTGTTGTTTGAACATAAAGTATTCGTTGGAAAAGCATGCGAAAAGTTTTTTTTATTTAAAAAAAATTAAAAAAGTTTTTGAAAAAATGAAACGAAAAAAAATGATCATTTTCATAATTTGAAATTCTAAAATTGTAATTTTGTTATATATTCTAAAACATATATTTCTTTGAAAACTGTAATGAGTAGAATTCAACATAATTTTTTTTCAAAATTATAATTCTCTCAGATTTTTGTAAAAAATCGTTTCTATTTCGTTTCTATGTTTCTTTTCCGAATTAACAAAACAATGACACAATTGTATGGACATTTAGCACAACTTTCTCTTTTCGAAAACCGGAAATTGAAATTCAAGCCCACACTTATGACTTCCATTTAAAGCTGATAAGCTCGAACTACAACTTTTCCGAATACACGTCTACGTCATGTTAGAAAATATTCAATTTTAAAATAATAATTTTGGATTTCTTAGGCACATTTTTTGATGGGTTCTATGAACCAAATTTGTTAATGTTTAAAACAATTCAAAGACCCTACTCGGCGACTGTTTTTTAAGAGTAATTTTTATAGGCAATTTTGACCATAACCTTGAGTTTTTAAGTAATTATTCAAATAGCAATTATAGACCTAATAGTGGAATTTTTTAATTCGTTTTTGATAATAATATATGGTTATATTTTAACCTTTAACTGTCGAGGTGAAATTTTAGGACAAGATAGTAAATTTTACCCCTCTTCATTTTACAAAAAATTTTATTTTAAAATCTTTTTTGATTATTATTTGTTCTATAAGTATAAGGTTATATTTTACAAATTACAATAAGTAAAAAAAGAAACAATTTTTTATTCAGGTACTTTTATTTAAAGCAATATAAGAGAGAATTTTAACAAAATATGAAGAGAGGGTAAAATTTACCACCACCTCTATAATTAAAAGTTAAAGAAACCGTTTTTTTTTTTCTCAAAGGATGTCTAAAATTTAAGATTTTTCAAACCCTTGATGGCTGTTATTGTGGATAGTTTTTAAAGGCATCTACAGAATGTTTATGTGTTTTTTTTTCTCAATTCTTCTCATGAAAATCTGAGGGATGTAATGGAGAAAACTTAAGATTCTCTCAGAGAAATCAGAGGCTATGGTCGTGGGGTTTTTTAAGGATTCTCAAAGAAATCTGAGGGCTAATCTGAAGAATTTTTTCAAAGCTGTTTGAGATCTATAATCTTTGCAATTTTTGTGGATTTCTAAAAATGTTCTCAGATAATTCTAAGGGGCTATAACCGCCAATTTTTGAGATTTTTCTCAGAGAAATGTACGGGTAATATCGAAATTTGAAAGCATAGAGTTTTTTTAGATTTTTTAAAGTGATCTGAATTTCTTAAGAATATTTTACAAATAGCTCTAAGGGTTATCGTATTGGGTATTTTAACATTATTTTCAAACGAAATTATGGGCAGAATTTTGAGGGCTATAATATTGGAATCCGTGTATTCGTTCCATGTCTGTCCATGTTTTTTTGTGAACGAAATGCAGGTCGCATTTATTATCCAATTAAGAGGAAATTCTCCAAACAATATTTGTTTGGCCCAAGGATGAACCCTATTGAAATTGGTGAGAATCGATTCAAATTTAGATATAGCTCTCATGTATATCTTCAACCGATTTCGGGTTAATTGTGCACCAAATTGGCCAATGTCAGTCCAAATTAACTGAATATTGGAATTCAGCCTAGAAATAAGTACTTCAAATTTGGTGAAAATTGATTTAGATATAGCTATAGTTCCCTACAGTTTCATTTGATTTGGTGTTTTAAGTCCCTCATATGCGTAATATGAACTCCACAAAAATGATATTTAGTACCAGATACCTTATGGAGCTCAAAAATACCTCCGTCAGATTTTATCGAAATCGGATCAGATTAGCTTCCATATATATCTTTATCCGATTTTAGTTTTAGTTTTTTTAGGGCTGAATTTTGGCAATTACAACTTAATTTAGCCTAGAAACAAGTACTTCAAATTTCTGTGGTTATGATTGTAATATTATTTTGTTTTTTTTTTTTATTTTTTATATTTATTTTTTTAAATCTGAGGTTTACAATTGTGAAGTTTTTTAATTTTTTCAGAGAAACTGAGGCCTAAAATCGTGGATTTTTTAGATTTGTCTTAACACAATTTCAATCTGAAGGTTACAAATGTGAAGATTTTATTTATTTAAAGAAATCAGAAGCCGAAATTTTAGTGCTCTATTCGTGGATTTTTTGAAGATATCTCCTAAAGAAATCTGAGAGAATTAATTTTTATTTATTTATTTATTTACTTTTTTTTTTTTTTGAACAAAAGCTGAGGGCTTTAGTCGTGTTATTTTTAAGATTTTCTCAGACACATCTATAGAAATTTGAGAGTTTTTTTTTTTTTTAATTTGTATAAAGAAATCTGAAGTTTCCAATAGTCATTTTTTCTTAAGATACCCTCTTAAGAAATCTAAAGGCTGTAACTTATAAAGAAATTTGGAGTTTATATATGTGAAGTTTTTACAATTTTTCTCAAAGAAATTTTAGGGATTTTTTCTTTTTTATACATTTTCTGAAAGAAATCAGAGGTTTATAATTGTAGATATTTCTAAATTGAATTTTAAGAGTGTAGAAAAAATTTACAGATACAAACTAAATATTATTTTTTAATTATTCAGAGTCAAACTGATCCATAAACGCGATTTTTTAAGAACCTTTTAAATGATTCAAATAATTGTTTGTCATTATATTTTCATTGTGGATTATTGATCCATACAAACAACCCCCATATAATGGTACCTAATTTTTGAAATTTCCCTTGTTGACCACATATAGTTTAACTCCTCTCACAAATGCAAAATATATGTAAATATATATAAAACTGTGCCCCCTGAATTTCCGTCTTTTAAAATTTTCGGTCCCAATGATATTGCTTTAAATGCTTAATATTCCATACAAGTCCACTTTTTGGTACAGTGCATATGTAACAGTAGCTTCTTTATTTTTACAGTTTTCGATCCGAATTTCCAAAGTTTTCACAGTGTAGATGGTAAGAAAAAGTTCAACTCGAACTTAAAGTCGTTTTTTAAATAAACTCGGAATGACTCTAAAGACCACGCCCCTTGATATTTTCACAATACTACCTTATTTGAACTATATTCAACAGATTTTTATTTTTTTTTTATTTATTATATTATTTTTTTGACTCAGTTTCCTTGGTGTTCTACTACTCTCAGAACGTAAAGACATATACTTAAATCGTATTTCAGAAATATAATATCAATATCATCTTTATCATTTGGGTCAAATTCTCTTAAAAATTCAGAATGATCATTTTTATGGACCCATGTACTCTTCTCTATAACATTAGCCATATATAAAGAATCTACAAATTCCCGTTTGAGACAATTTGAAAATTTTGCTGTCTTTAATAATAAAATTGTTTCACTGTCTTTTATAGTAATAGTGTAGGGTAAAACTAATTCTATCCTTATTGAGCTTGTCTTAGAGATACGTCATCATTAAACACCTAGTATGCACATATCAATCCAAAATTCCCCAGCATAAATGAAAAATCGTATTTAAAAAGAAATTCCCAAATATCACCCATCCATTGTGTCAATAATAGCAAAATACAAATAATAATTCGACAATTTGGCGGAGTCATGGCAAGTCGTTGCCTGGCTAAAACAGCCGAAACTTGACCAAAACAAAACACACATGTAAACAATCACGCTGATGGCATGTGTTGTGCGGTTCCGACATTAGATGATGAACGTATGTCTTGTTTAGAAATTAAGACAGATTCTTTGTTTCTGTTGTTGTTGCTTTCCGATGATTCTCAAGTAAATAACAACAAAATAAACACCCAACAAGTTTGGCCAGAATCGGTTTGAGAGTCTGTGAGCACAACCACACATACACTCGCTCGTTAAGCTACACACGCATTTGGGAGGGGAAACACACTAAACGTTATCTTTTAGTTTCAGTGGAATATTTCATTTAGATTAGATTTGGACGTTATCACAGACAGAGCATTTGCGGTTGCGCACTGAATTATCGAGTCAACATGGTGACGTCTAAGGGACTGAGATTGATCTCGGTTTTGAGTATTGTGGCCCTTTTAAATGTAGAAGGTAAGAAATTGGATTTACCACAGCAACAAGAGCTCATTCAATATTCGTTTTAGTATGTTTCGCCCAATTCTTACAACAACCTCAACCCATTCGTAATGTACCCAGGACGGGCTCCGTTTCGAAGGCTTCTAGTACAGCATTTCAACGTGAAGTGGACTATGGCCCAATAGAAGTTTCCCGTGGGGTGGCCAACTCGCGTACTGTAACCAAATCAAATGGTGGCTTCCGCAACGGTGGTGTAACATCGGTCTCAAAGAGTAATGCCGTTTCTCGGGAAGTGGAATTGGGAGGACTGAATATTGGAAGTACCGTAACACGCTCCCAAACTAAGACAAACGGTGCTGTATCCAAAGCTGTTTCCCGGGACGTGAACATTGGAGGTTTGAATCTTGGTTCCACCGTTTCCAATGGTAAACCCACCTTCGGCTTACAACGTACCGCTGATGGTGGTGTGGCTTTAGGTTTGGGCCGATTGACTTTGGATGTTTCGCGCAACAATCAACCTGACAACAATGCCTACACCCAAGCCCAGGCTCAAGCCCAGGGTCTCAATGCCCGCGCCAAGGCTAACAGCAACTCAAAGACCAACACCCAACAATATGGTCGTGCCGAAGTCACAAATACTTTCTCCCATTCAAATGCTGTGAGTCGCACCAAACAGGGACAAACATCAGCTTCCACTGGCGGAGCAGTTGGTGGTGTAGCCACAAATGGTTTGACCCAAGGCCAGGGATTACGCACTGTTCGAGCACCCGTCGCCAGTAGACCTGTTTATGCCACGCCCTTCCTGCCTGTTGCCCAAGCTTTCCGCCCAGTCAGACAAGTAAGACCCAAACGTAGGGCCCAATATATTCCCTTTTTCTTCCCTGACCAACAAAACAGATGGTCCGCCAATAGAAACCCCACTTTTGGTGGTCAACCCCAGAAACAGAATGCCAATGCCCAAGGATTGGCCAACAACATGAACAATTTCTTCGAGCAACAGGCTGGTGCCAACACCCATACAAATCAGCAGTTCAATGCCAACGGTTTTACCCAGGATAATGGTGCCTCGAGCATTGGTTCCAATGTGGCCAAAGATGGCTCCAGTGGTCAAGTCACTTCCTCTAATGTTGCCCAAATGAACTGGGTTACCCAAGGTGGCTCTCAAAGCTCCAACAATGCCCAAAGTCAAGCTCTGAATTTCGATAAAAACCAACAGCAGGCCTCCTCTGCCAATGCGGGTACAAATCAAGTTATTACCGCAACGGGCCAACGTAACGAAGCCCAGGGTGGTGCCCAGTCAACAAACAACAATCAATTCGGTTCATCCAGCAACATTGCCAATACCAACTCGGCTGTTTTCGAAGATGGCAATTCTAGGGGTTCTCAAGCCGATTCCAGCAGTCAATCCATATTCCAGGGTAACAATGGTCAAAATTCTGCCGCCAACACCCAATCGAATGTTATCTCCAAACAAGGCGCCGATGGATCTGTAACCAACTCGGCCACCAGCAATGCTTCGGCTGTGAGTCAAGGTGGCAAAGGTGCCAGTGCTGTGGCATCAGCCAGCTCAAGTTCCAGTGCAGGATTGGGTGGTGGTAATGCCGTGGCCCAAGGTTCGGCCGGTTCAAATGGCGCCAATGCCAATAGCGGTGCCAGTGGTAATTTGGGTGGATCTCAAGGCTTTGCCAATGGAGGTTTTGGCGGATTTGGAGGTGGCGGATTTGGAGGCTTCGGAGGTTTCGGAAACTTTGGAGGCTTCAGAGGTTAGAATTCTAATTTAAGATCGTAGGAAAAACACTACATCGCACTCTTTATGTCGAATTTTTTACATGTTTTGCACAATAAATTAAATTAATTGTTGTTGTTATTGTTGATTGTTTTTTATGTGTTCGGCACTTTTTATTGCGGATAAAGAAAAAATGATAAAGTATATAGGAAGTCAATAGATTTGTGTTTCCAAATCATCTACAAACAGGTGATTAACATGAACACAACAGCTGATGAATTAATTCAGCCGTATGTAAATGTGGCGATATATCTTGTGGAAGAGGCGTTTCACTACATTACTAAGTTAATAACAGATGGAACACAAATTTCTAAGAAACTGGTTTACAATGGTGAAAGTATGGTATGAATAGTAAGTTTTATTCACATTTATGTAAATTCACATTCAAAACCAGACATTTGCTATTCCTAAATATTCGGATAAGAGCTTAATCTGATGAATATACAGACAACAAAGTTCCCACAAATATTATCTTTAAAAAAGTGTTTCAACAGATATCGTTTGTGATCTGTATAGCCCCTACTCAAGACATTCAATACTCTGAAACTCTCAAACTCTCTAAATCAAATTTACATACTTTAAAAATTTTACCGTAAATGATCCGACTCTTTGGACCAAACCTGTTTCAGGAATTTTGAAGTCATTCCAGGGGTGTCCGTCGGTTGGTCTGGCTGGTTGGTGCGCACTATAACTCCCGAAGGAAGTATCCGATTTGGTCTAAACTTAGTACATTATTATAAAACTTAGATCGAGTTAGGGAAAAGGGCAATATCGGCCACTTCATCGAGATAATAATTTACCTAATAGAACAAGAAAGAATCATCAAATTTTGTTTATACTTTGCAAAAACTTATATTATATTTAGGACTAGGTCAGCTGCGAAAATGGATAATATCGGTCCATTCCATTAAGTATATCTTCCACAAGGTTTCACAATTTTGAATAGTTATAACTCCTATAGAGTTATTTATAATAGTCCGATTGTCTTAAAATTCCTCACATCTAAATATATATATCAACACACGAACAAATGAAGAACATATACAACGGACCACTCCATCTGGTACTCTCTATGGAATTTATCTGTCCACTCCCTCCTTCTTAACAAAATATTAAAAAAATCAAAATAAATGTTCGATCCGCTTCACTGATAAATGAAGCGGAACACTTCGACATTTTCCAAAAATTATCACATATCGCATATACAGGGTGAGAAAAAAAACTGCAGCAAAGTCAAACGCCATAACTTTTCAATTTTTTTAAATTTTATTGAATGAAAGTAAACAAGTTAAAAAGCAATAAGTTCGGCCGGGCCAAACTTTGAATACCCTCCACCATATGGAAAAAAATTTGGAAATTTTCAAAAAAATCTGTTAAAATTTTAAAAATACCGAGTATAAACCATACATTGGGGTCTATACCACGTGGACCTGTATACACAACTTACTGTCACTGTAGTTCCCATTACGAACTCTAAATACGTAATTTGAAACAATTCTGGTGAATAATGACGCTATAATCATCAAAATACCGAATATTGGGAGGTACCGTTGTATGGGGGCTATACGAAGACGTCGACCTGCACAGACAATTTTCGGTCTTAGGCTGTAGTATCCATTTTGAACTCCAAACACCAAAATTTGAAACAATTCCGTTAAGAAATGTCCCTAAAATTATCAAAACACCGAATACAGGGAGGTACCCTTATATGGGGCTTATATGAAAACGTGGACCTACATGGACCATTTCCGCTCTTAACCTGCCTACTCGAAAAATAAACATGTGTGAAAAATTCTAGCCATCTATCTTAATTCGTTCGAAAGATAGCGTGATTGCCACAGACAGACAGACAGACAGACAGACAGCCAGACGGACATCGGTAAATCGACTTACGTTGATCAAGAATATATACTTTTTTGGGTCTGACATGAGTATTTCGAGGAGTTACAAACAGATGACAAAGTTAATATACCCTCCATAGTATGGTGGAGTGTATAAAAATGTCGGAAATAGCATCAAATTTAAAATAAGTTCAGATTTGTTCGAATTGGTCACCTTTGGCACGAATTGTGGGCTTCAAACGGCCACTGAAACCGTCACACGCTGCCCAAATATTGCCCTGCGGTATTTTGCCCCATTTCCGGCAGAGCGCTTGCTTGAGGTAATCGACATTTTGTTATTTTTTAGTGCCAACCTTGCTTTCCAAAATACTCCAGACACAATAGTCCAACGGATTGGTATCCGGAGATTTTGGTAGCCATAGTGCGCTGGAAATGAAGCGAGGAAACTAATTTGTAACCATTCTTGGATGGCGCGTACTGAGTCCTGTTGGAATGTCTAAGGTCTGTGGCCAAAATGTTTGCTTCAAACCACCCTCTAGAATATTTTCGCGATAATATTCGGCATTTATTCTAATACCACGGTCGATTAATAGGAGAGCGGCCGTCGGCTGTTATGGTGGCCCACACCATAACCATGGCCGGCGCTTGAGATCTGGTGTCCAACCGAAGGTTTGGGTTTTTCAGCTGACCTCTTGTGCAAGTAAACACTATCATTTGGTTTGATTACAAACTGCTACACAACGAATGTTTTATCATCAAAGAAAACCAAATTCGGCAGTTCACCACTTTCGGCCAAGCGAAGCAACTCTTTAACTCTTTTGAGTCTATTTTCTTTCTGTTGCAGTAGGAGTTCTTGCACTTTTTGGAATTTCAATGGCATTACCCCAAGCTCATTTTTAAATATTTGCCGTATGGAATATTGTGACATATTCAGCTCACGAGCCATTTTTCGGCCACTTCGGGTTTCGATCAAGTCTCTTATATACTTTTCGAACCATTTCTGCTGATGTTGCTGTATCCTTCCGTCCACTTCCTTGAAGTCGGGCTACGCTACCAGTATCATGGTAACGAGCGATGGTACGAGACACAAAAGATTTATTCACATTTAAATGCTGGAGTGCTCTAACGATAGCCATTTGTAGTTTTCCAGCCAAATATAAAGAAATCACACTATCACGCTTGAATTTCATTACGAAGAACTTTTTTACGCTTGTAAACAATATAATGAGCTGTCACTGGAATAATTTGAACATATATCGGGCGAGGGGCTTAGAAATGACAGCAGTCTAAAGTTAGTTTCAGTTTTCTCATCCCCTGTATGAAGCACAAATACCAAATTGCACAATAATCTATTAGAAAATGGGGCTTTAATGCTATATATCCGATGGAACCGTTATATCTGCGCTATAGGAAAGTTTTGTACCGTTTTATGGAGGCTACAATAACACGTGGACCTATACGGCTAATATTGTCCGAACGGAGATAGAATCCTTTACAAACTTTTAATATCAACAAAATTCTTAGTGGTTAGTTTCCTGCGAAATTACACCAGTAACGAATAGCAAATTCTCAATAAGTCAGAGTGCAAAATGCGAATCTCATAATCTCTCATTCGAATCTCATGTAATTGAAAGATCTTCCAGTTTAATTTTAGTTTTTATTTTACTTTTTTTTTTTTTTTTTGTGAAAAACTCTAAAATTATATTTGTGCAGCATCTTTTATAGATAAGTCGTCAAATATTTTTCGCTTGTGGAACTAATGAAATCAAATAGAAGACGGATGCTACTACAATATAAAATTGTTATGGCACCCTCACATCTCGCTCTTAAAAACTTAAAATCAACATGTTATCATGATCACAAATAACTTACATCAAACTTTTCGCTGGGCAATCACATACATCTCTTTTTGGGCACTCAAAATCTTCACACGATAAAGCATACTTTCAGGCTCCATTCAAAATGTTTTCATTCTATTTGTAAATTTTTTACAGCAAAAAGTAAAAGTCTTGGCCCACATTCAAACTCATTAACCCACCAACGAAGAAACAACAAAACTATTTCGAAATCTCATACATCACACCACTTTCGGCCGGCGGCAGTAAATAGTTTACCACAAAATTACAGTATAAACGCGGCACACAAATTACAACATCCGGTCGTAGATGGAAATTCCTCTGTTGAGCTGTTCGATGTAATTGATGAAAATGAGAAAAGCGGACGTACGTTCAGTTTTATTGGCGACATAATTGATAGCCTTACACCGCGCTGTGTGCGGCCGTGTACCATGGATGCCTATCGACGCAATATTTGTTGTGAAACGGTGGTCATAATACCACCGCCGCCACCGAATGTGTGCTGCCAGCCACAGCTTCCGATGTATCCGCCTATTAGACCATTTCCGACCAGCCTGCCACCCACCCAACTGACAACACAGACCCCGCTTGTCATAGTGCCGCCGCCCACTCGACCTGTTGTAGTGCTGCCACCACCGTCACTGGCATATCCGCCGATACAAAGTCCATGTTGTGCCACATGCACGACCTATGGCTACTATGGACCTCCGCCATGCGTTCGTTTCACATTGCCCCGAAATGGACCAAGTCGTATATTGTTATATGTTCCACCAATTGGTTGAATGTTCACCACGCTTCACCCATTTCGATGTTCGTAAAGTTAACTTATGTAGAATATCTGTTCGACAATAAATTTAATTTCATACAAAGGCTCCTTTGTAATTTTATTAATTTACTTCAACAGCTTTTAAGAAATCATCTCAGCTCCAACATATGGCCCTTGGAGACTTTGGCGGCAGGAAGGTGCGTACAAATTCCACCCACTCTGAAACCAAATCCATGGTAAAGACCGAAGTAACCGTCATTCAGAATAGCAGCACAACAATTGACAATACAAATTCAACAGTTGAAGTTTTCACAAAAATTGATGAGGGCCAACGGAATGGACGCACATTCGATTTAATTACAAGTTTTATGGACAGCCTCGTACCCCGTTGCGTTTATCCCTGCACCAAGGAGGCATATGACAGGAATCGGTGTTGTGAAACAGTGGTATTGCCACCTCAACAGCCGCCGAATGTATGCTGCCAATCACAGCCTCCATTAACACCAATGCCTCAACCACCGCTGCCGCCTCCAGTAGTTCCGCCGCATCCACAATTGCCATATCCTCCGCAATTTCCCCAGCAACCACAACCTGTACCACCACCGTTTCGCCCACCATATCGTCCATATCCATATCCTCCTCAAGTGCCACCAGCGCCACAACCAACCCTACCGCCATTTCGTCCCCCTGCCTCGTATCCACAACAAATGCCACCGCCACCGCCGCCACCACAACGCCCACCAATTCTAGTGGCTCCAGCACCAACACCAAATTATCCTTTCTTACAGTGTTGTACATCATGCCCGCCATCAACGTATGGTTACTACGGGCCTCCTCCATGTCAACGCAACATTACACCAGGTACAACTTATGGCCGGGCAAGGGTTTATTTACCGCCAATGGGATAGTGAATTTGGTTGTTGTCTTTTTGTTTTTGTATTTAAATTAATAAAATCGAAAAATTTTTAAATTGTTTTATTTTGGAAGTGAGCTGTTGAGCGAAAAAGAATAATAGACTGCATAAGGTTAGGAAGATGTTATTTCAGCAACAAATGTTCAAAAATACAAAAGGCAAATACTTTATTTTATTTACTCAGATTTGTTCACTTAGTTTTTTTTTACGGCATGGAAGATAACACTGTGCGACAACATTAAGTAAGTTATGAATCAACCAAAGCAAAAACCAGTAAAGAATATCAAAAGTAGGCCGATCCGACTATATGATAAACATTTAGTACAGCTTCCGTAGCAAAAAAGTGTAGATTTGGAACTTATGCGAAGTAGATCATACCAACCACGTATCACGGCTTTTGGACAGTTTCAGAGGGAACTGATATATGTGGGAGGTTTACCCAATTCGGAGTAAATTTTCAGCAAATTTTACGGAGGTATTTTTACCTTTCATACCAAATAACATTGCTATGCAGTGGCTGATATCACTTCGAGAAGGTGTTCCTGTGTATGTGAGGTCTCATCTATAGCTATATCTGAACCGATTTTGACCAAATTTGAAGTACTTCTTTCTAGGCTGAATTTGGTCGTATGAGCCAAAATACATTTTAATTGAACGAATATTAAACATTCTGCGAACAAAAAAGACATTTAAATCGTACGAATGCTACCTGCATTTTGTTCAAAAAAAAAAAAAACATGGACATATATACAGGCGAATGGACATCCATAGATGGACTCAAGAAGTAATTCTATATCAATATAAGACACCTGTATCGGAAGTAGGGGGTATTTCCCCTTACTAACATATTTTTTGATTGATTTGGTTTTCGAATCAAAATTCCTTGGAATTTTACATATAAGATGTCTTCGGCAAGATTACTAACAACAATACGAGGATTATTTTTGTTGAAAACTTTAACCGTACCGCGAGTCACCAAAGGGGTCTTTTTGAATACATAGTTTGGTGCATCAAAATAATCATTTTAGACCCATCAAAGTGTATTCTTGATACAAAGCCAATTTTGTCACATATACGTGTCCATCTGTTGCTATCATGCTAGAGCCGAACGGCATGTGACAGAAATCTAAGATTTGGCTTAGATTCCAATTTTATTTACAGGCGGGTCCATTTCGAAGATGAGCTATATCGGCCCACGTCTTCGTCTTAATTGTGCATTTTGGCACATCCGACCGAATTCAGTCTGGAAGCAAGTACATTAAATTTGTAGAAAATCGTTTCGAAAATAGTTATAGCTCCCACATATATGTTTTATCCGATTTGGGGTTTTAAGTCCCTCATATTCGTAATGATATGATATTTGGTGCCACATATCCGATATAGTCCACAAATACAAATTTTTCAAAATGGGTTCAGATTTGGATAAAGCTCCCATATATATAAATATATATATATATATATATATATATATATATATATATATATATATATATATATATATATATATATATATATATATATATATATATATATATATATATATATATATATATATATATATATATATATATATATATATATATATATATATATATATATATATATATATATATATATATATATATATTCGTTTTCGGCTTAATTGTGCACCACATAGCCAATATCAGTCCAAATGACACATAAGTGACATCCACTCCACAAGAATGATATTTTGTACCAGATATCTTACACCGGGTGAAATGAAAAAGCTCCAAGCGTGAATTCAAGCGTGATAGTGTGATTTCTTCATATTTGGCAGGAAAACAGCAAGAGGCTATCGTTAGCAGCATTTAAATGTGAATTAATCTTGTGTGCCTCGTACCATCGCTTGTTACCATGATAGTGGCAGCTCAGCCCGACGTCAAGGAAGTGGAAGGAAGAAAACAGCGACATCAGCAGAAATAGTTCAAAAAGTAAAGAAGCGACTTGATCGAAACCCGCGTCGCAGTGGCCGAAAAATGCCTCGTGAGCTGAACATATCGCAATATTCCATTCCGAAAATATTGAAAAATGAGTTCGGAGTATAGCCATTGAAATTCCAAAAAGTGCAAGAACTGACACCGCAACAGAAAGAAAATATACTTTAAACACCTACAGAGTTGCTTCGCTTGGCCGAAAGTGATGAACTGCCGAATTTGGTTTTATCCGATGAAAAAACATTCGTTCGTGATCGAGTTTACTTGCCAAAGAGGTCAGCTGAAAATGGTTGGCCACCACGACCCAAGCACTGGCCGTAGTGATGGTGTGAGCCGCCATAACAGCCGATAGTCGCTCGTATTAATCAATCGTGGCTTCAGAATAAATGCCAATATTATCGCGAAAATATTCTGGAGGGTGTATTAAAGCCTTTTTTATTTGGCCGCAGACCTTGTACATTCCATCGCTTAGCACTTGCCACCCAAGAAGGGTTACAAAATGATGTTCCACACTTCATTTTCAGCACACAATATCCACCAAAATCTCCGGATACCAATTCGTTGGACTATTGTTTCTGGAGTTTTTGGAAAGCAACGTTGGCAGTTAAAAATACCAAAGTGTCGATCACCTCACGCAAGCGCTTCGCCGGGAATGGACCAAAATACCGCAGAGCAACATTCGGGCAGCGTGTGACGTTTTTATTGGCCGTTTGAAGGCCACAATTCGTGCCAAAGGTGACCAATTCGAACAAATCTTAACATATTCTAAAATTTGATGTTATTTCCGACATTTTTTGCTTCCATTCAATAGAATTAAAAAAAAAACAGGTAAAAAAACATTAAGTCCGGGCGGGCCAAACTTTTAATACCCTCCACCTTAGGGTAAAGGAAACATTAGAAGAAATGTGGTAAAAAACATCAAAATGCCGAATGTCGGGAGGTACCGTTATATGGGGGCTATACCAAATCGTGGACCCATACATGCAATGTTTTACCACACGCGCAGGGACTCGTTATGACCTACAAATACCCATTTTCAGACAAATCCGTGAAAAAGTCATCAAAATGCCAAATATCAGGAGATACCGCTATATGGGAACTATACCCAAACGTAGACCGATTTATCTCCTAGAAACAATAATAATTGCTCTGCTAAATTTTGGCGCTCTACGTCAAATAATGTGGGCTGTATCGTGATTTCAACATAAACACAGGCGAACAGACAGACGGACATCGTTAAATCGACTTAGAATTTTATGCTGATTATGAATATATATACTTTATGGGGTCTAAGACGAATATTTTAGGGTGTTACAAGCGAAATGACAAATTTAATATACCCTCCTTTCCAAGGTGGAGGGTATAATTAAAAATTATGATGTTTGACTTTGTTGCAGTTTTTTATCTCATCCTATATATATTTTTGATCAGCGTAAAGATCCTGCGATGTCCGTGTGTCCACCCGTCTGTTGTATTCACGCTATCTTTCAAACCAATTGAGATAGAAGGCTGAAATTGCACACATGTGTATTTTGTCAGTAGATAGGTTAGGTAAATGTGATGAAAATAGGCCATGTAAATGAGTCATGTCAGCTCACGTTTCCATATGACCGTACCTCTCAATAAGTTTTTAGCGACTTTATAGACCGGAATTGTTTCGAATTTCATGTTGTTTTTATATGGGCATGCCTCTAATACTCTCCTCTTATTCCTAGTCTCATTTTAGTTGTTTCCTACTGGTTTTCATTTGAATCGATGTCATTTTTAAAAAAGCTAAAATTATTTGCCCCAAGGCTTTATCAATCCATTAATCTAATCATTGATATTTACAAGATTGAGGTAAAGATATCAGCATATGTATTCTGTGACATCACAATAGCCTGGAGATCCATTTGGATAATGTAAATTTCTGCTAAAAATGTTATAATGTTCTGAGAACTACATATTGCATTTTTTTATTATCGTTCCGGAACTGTTAACCCCCTTCCTTCAATAAAACGTCATAAATTAACATGTCTTATTGTTTTTGTTTTTATTTCACTTGATTCATTACATTCTAACGCGCAACCGTCCGGTTAATTCTAATGTTTCCTATAACGACGAGCTCCAATCTTGTGTTTCACAACATGGGTATTGTCAGAGGTGGAGTACAAATAGATGGGAACTTCTTCGACGGCAGTTTCAGTCTTTACACCAGATCTGTGGCTTTCTCCAGCGAAACGTCTGGTCGAGGGGCCGGCTGTCTTCTTGGGTGCAGCTTCATCGCCGGAGAAGTTCAGGGGTTGGCTTTCATCATCTTCCTTAACGTTCAAGGGTTCCTCATCAGCATTGACGGGTTCGGCGACGGCAACAGAGCTCTCACCATCTTCGTTTTCTTCGGCTTCGTTGAGCAAGTTTTCAATGGCTTCCAAGTTGGTCATGCCATGAGCTTGCAATTGTTGGTGGAATTCAGTGGGAATGGCGATGGCTTGAACATCCTTGTGGCCAGAAATGCCATTAGGAGTGGGAATGAATTGAACATCGGAGGGAATTTCAGAGGTGGGATAGACTGGAACCAATTCAGCTTCGTTTTCGTTGCTCGACTTGAGCAAGATCAATGAAATGGGAACGATTTTCTTGAATTTCAACAAAACCAATTTCTTGATGGCCACAGCGCCGGCAATGAGACGACCTTGTTTGGCGGGCTGTTTAATGGAACGAGCTGTTGGAGGCGGAAATAAAGAAATAAATTTCAATAATATAACCATATATCAATTAGCCGGGGCGTGTGCTTTGCCAATTATGTTTCCTTACCATCAACGACGTAGGCAGCTGCCAACAGAACAATGACTAGACCCCAGACGAATTTCATGGTTACTGATGTGGTTTTGAGTTTTTCTTAGAAGGGAATGGAAATGTGTTCGGTTTTAAATAAAATTCTCGATTGACATGCCGACTATGGAGACTTGATGTTTTTATTTATACTCCGATCAGTGGCGTCCTCCCGCCATATCTCCAGAAGCCAAAAAAGAAAACAATGACCCAGATTGCAAAATGCATATTTTCACCAATTTTTTCTTTGGCGATTTTTAATCCGACACTATAGCACATAACCAATTCATTTACAGTAAGCTCTGGCTAACAGATGCTTGGCTATAAAGGGAGATAAGCAATTCTTCGACATAAATTTGACAAGCACAACATAATTATGTTGACAAAACTTCTATTGGGGAAAGGGTTTCTTAACAAAAAAGTTAAAGTAGGGGGCTTAAATAACAAAAATACAATTTCATCCCTTCCATTTAGCCAGCGCTGACTGTAACCGCCAACATTTTTATAACTCAAAAATATATGAAAAATGTAACACAAATAATATGCAAATCTCTATCGACAAAATACAAACAGCATAACATTATTAATGAACGATCTCCATCTTTGTCATTTTTTGGCCATTAAACGATAGATTGGAGAAATTGATTCTTTCGCTAGAAAGCAGTGCCGTTCCAACGACAATGCTATCAATTTCGTATAAATGTCGATCAATAACACAATCCCAAGCGCCTTAATTTGCACAAAAACAAGTTTAAAGTTCAGAAGGTTGTTTGATTGATGCTCCCCAGCAAATGAGGGGAATTTTTTGGATGAGTTGGAGTTTTATAAATGTTACATCGTCGAAAGGTTTTTAATTAATTTTCCATTCCCTAGCAACCCCATCGTTTTAAATACAACCATATTGCATATTTATAGACGCTGCCCCGCTCTATGGCTGACCAATTTCATTTCACCGCAGGCGTTGTAGAAAACCATTTTTGTTTCTGATTAGCAAGTGCCGTCTACTTCGCTTGGGGAAATTCCACTTTAATATAAAAGAGGATACTAGCTCAAAAACTACTCAATTGACCAAAAAGCTAAAACCCTTAGAGGCTGAAGTCGTTACTTAGAACTTGGAATACATATTTTGACACTTCCAGTTAACTCTCCTCTACCCGTACCAAATTTAATTACACCAAGTACGTTAAGTGCACTTTTGGCATATAACATAGCATTCCGGAAGTTCTCCAGTATCTTAATCATTTGCATTCCAAATAGCCCTCGTACCTTACCCCACCCCACGAAAAATTCTCTCAATTCAAAAATTAAAACTTGAACAGATAATGCAACTGCGATACACAAAATTAGGTTCCAATTTCAAAAAATCCAGCATAATCTCAGTCCTAAAGTTTAACACGGATCCATATTCTAAATATTAGATAAGTTCACTCATTACTCAACATCTTATATGTCCAGAAATAAACTTGTTTATGTCGAATTTTCAAAAACTGATAGCATTACTGTTTGCCAGCATTAAAATAAATTTCAGATTTTTATCTTTACAAGTCCACTAGATTCCTGCACACCAACAGTCGGTCATGTTGCCAAAATACCATGACACATTAAAATCTTGTTTGTGGACAATATGGAGGATATACTAGGTTTGTTTAACATCGTAAAACGCTAGATTTTCTTAAATTTATTTTTTTCAAAAATTACAAGAAAAATTCACCAGACTATGAAAGTGAAGTTGAAAAAAGAAGATACGTATCGGAGTTATGAAAGTTTGCATTGCAAAGTAACCCAAATAGAGGAGACAATTTCCTTCCTTTTCATATTTTTCCTTGTTTTTGGATTAGGATTCCTTACATTCTAGGTACATTATTCATCTACAATATTACTGATAAGAATACGAAAATTTCTTTGGACAAAAATTTTAGCCCTAAGCGGTGACTCGTTTTTTAGGTTACTTTTGCGACTGAGATTAATACTTTAATCCTTGTGGGAAGTGTGAAAGGATCCAATTTTCTAGATGGAATTTTATTTCGAGTCTGGGAACAAAAGACATTTTTTATTTAATATGTTCCATAAAAATATCATCAATTTTAATTTATAAAAAAATCTGTAAAATATGTTTTTTATTTTAGTATTTCTATTTTTCATATTATTCTGATTATTTTTTTTTTTTTTATTTATATATTTATTATTATTGGAACAGTGTTGGCTTGTTTGTTCGGTATACCGTAGTATTTTGTTGTTGCAAAATGGTCAGGTTTTATCCCTTTACTGTTGTTTTTATAAAAACAACGTTTGTTTATTAGTGGAGAACGATGGTAATGTTTATAAGGGGGCAAGGCAGGGAATACCTAGGTTTCGGAAAGAGCCAGCAATCCTCATCAGTTCCCTTGTTTTTTGTTTGGGATATTCTCCCCAGAAGTTAAAAAATAACTTCTATGACAAAAAACATTTTTTACACGAGTGACGAGATCGTAAGCTCAATAGAAGAGGAACCAAAGAATTAAATAAAACTAAAATTCTTTTGGAAACCTAGGTATTCCCTGCATTACCCCCTGGTAAATATTACCAACAACAACAAAAAACAAGGTGGTCAGGGTATTATGTCTTTGTGCATTTGTTTGTAACAGGCAAAAGGAAACGAGATAGACCCATAATTCCTTTCCTGCATAGAATTAAATTCTGAATCGATTTATGCATGTCCGTCCGTCCGTCTGTCCATGTATTTTTGTAAACAAAGTACAGTTCGCATTTATTGACCTATCCAGATCAAATTTATGATCAGATTGGACCTGCAAATAAGTATGCCAAATTTGATCGAAATCGGTTGAGATATAGCTATAGCTCCCATATATATTGTTCATCCGATTTGTTATTTTTGTCCTCCGCAGCCGTAATATGCACTCTGTAACAACAATATTTGGGGAAATATATCAAATACAGCTCAGAAATACATTTGCTAAATTTTATCGAGATCGCTTTAGGTTTGGATATAGCTCCCATATATAACTTCGTCCGATTTAAATTTGGTTGTGCACCAAACGTCTAATATTTGCCCAAATGGGATGAAACTTGGCACTAACGACCGAATTGAGTCTAGAAGCTAGTATGTCAAATTTGGTGAAGATCGGTTAAGTTATAGCTATAGCTCCCTTATATACTGTTCATCCGATTTGTTATATTTGTTACCCACAGCCGTAGTGCATATTACAACGTAACAACGATATTCAGGGAAATATATCAAATACAGCTCAGAAATATCTTTGCCAAATTTTATCGAAATCGGATCCGATTTGGATATTGCCCCATATATATTTTATCCGATTTCAAATTAATTGGGCACCAAATGGGCAATACAAGTCCGAATTTAAAAAATACAAATACTTCGGCATATTTAGTCCTTTGATTATAATTACAATTAAAATTACAATCATAGGGTGTATGATTGAATTCTCCCATAAAAACTTTTAATTGTTATGCGGAGCTCTACTAAATCAGCAAAGTGGTGTAGACTATCATAAAGTCGGCCCCGCAAGACTTTAAGGCTTTCTTTACTGTTTTTTTTTTTTTTTTGAAAATGATTTAATTTAATAGTTTTCGATTTGTAGATCAAAACCCCAAACAGTTTTGCGATTTTGGGACAAATTATATGTTAACGTTTGATTGGCCAAAAATTATGTAGATCTCTAAATATTGGCCCAGCACATAAGATCTTAGCGGCAGAGCTGAAGCTTAGAACTTTGGACTATGCATCTGTAAGATTTACATTGATGCTGATGCTCATCACCGAAGAATATAGCCAAATATCGGAGATACAGGAAAAGTTGAAATCATGAATCTAAATTTGAAAATTGTTTTGAATACCAATTTAAGGGCAAATTCTGCGAAGATTTGTATGACCTCGTTGTTTCGGTCAAAAGCAGGGCTGGAAATGGGTCGAAAATCGAACCGTAATTTTTGTATTTCAACCGAATTATTGTTATTGCCATATGTTTATACGATGTTCTTATATATTATTCTTTTCTGGCAAGAGACCATTCCGAATTGATAAGAATTGTGAAAATCTGTCCAGCATTTCTTGACTTATAAGCAGAATAACTAATATTTTTTTCTTTTACATATACATTTAACCTATTTTGCTACATATCCGATATCTTGGCTATTAGCATCACTATAATAGTCAGAAGTGACATTTTAATGCATTTGTGATTTGGCATGGAGGAAAAATATTCGCGATTTGTGGATTTTTTTTATTTTATTTTTTTTTTTTTTTTTGACATATAAGTTATGGTTTATTATGATTACCATACAAATTGGTTAGCTTCTGCCCAGTCCTGAACTCTTAATTCAACGCAAATTTCCGCGTCGATTGGTTCATAATTGTGGCCTATAGAGCAACTTCAAAATCGAGACAATTTTCTTTTTTTCGTCCATTTCAAACCCTAAATATTGTGCGATCATCTCCAAAAACAATAGGATTGTATTCTGATCCTAACATCACCTCCATTTTTTCCGTGAGGATCGGGCCACAATTGCGACCTGTAGCGTAATTACAAATTAACATGGACAGACGGACGCGAAACAAGAATGGAATTTTAGGACAGGGTTGAATCTAAAATAGTAGGACAATACAGTTTTATCCCAAAATTTTACAATGTGTTACCCATTAACATCGAAAATATGCATTTATTTTCCAACTGAATTTGAAATAATTTCAAATTACTGTAGCTTTGTTCTACCTTTTCTGATTGTGCCATAGTTTTGTTGATTATAAAAATTGGCGATATTTTGTCAAAGACATATAGTCACTTGTAGGTAACTTCTAACTGCTCTTGTTATTGTTTATATAATAAACAAATTTTATTGTTTGCGATAATGTTATCCTGTAAAAATGTACATAAATTGTCGATAAACTTTTAAACGTATTTAAGTAAAAATTTTTCGAACCGAAAAATGTATTTACAAAACATGGCATTTCCAATATTGAAAACTTACAATTTTTCTATTGTTTTTATAATGACGAGAACAATTTTTTAAATTTTGTCCTTAAATGGAAAAACTCAATAAAAAATAATATTATTTTACAAAAAAAATCCATTTGTTTGTTTTTTTTTTTTTTTTTTT